CCCCATTACCTGTGGCATTTATGAAGAAAAAGATAATATATTCATATCACAACATCATTATATTATCTATAGATCATAAAATGTGTATGTAGCGTGTTAATACTGTTCATCACTTAGAGCAGGGTTGTCAAACATGCGGCCCCCCAGATGTTGCTGAACTACAACTCCCATGATTCTTTCAATGAACCAGATAGCCAGGGAATCATGGGAGTTGTAGTTCAGCAACATCTGGGGGGCCGCATGTTTGACAACCCTGACTTAGAGCATCATCCCGAGGTTTATGTGAATGACATCACCCATTGCTCTAGGTAATTTGCACAGGATGTCACAAATGTATGAAATTCTGCTGCCCATGAATCACCACTCCATTGCAAATTAAGGCTTCAAATTGTCAACATTGAAATTACTGAATATTCTATAGAATGTGCAACATATCATTTTGAATAGTCGTTAGAACATTGTGCATCAATCTTAATAATATTTTTCAGATGTCCACTCTGCTTAATGACATGTGAGCTACACAGATATTGGTGAAATCTCGTTATAGAATTTATAATGTCTTTACTTTGTTTAGTAAGTAATAGTACCTTTAAATAACTACTCACTCATTCTTATTTTTATAATGTAGCTATGTAACCCTCAAAGTGAACTCAATGTCATTATCAAAGTTCTACCAATGTCTAAAACGTCTGTAGGATAAATAAGAAAAAACACAGTAGTCACTTTATTGAATTAATCTCACCCACTAAGTTGGGACTCTGGGGAACTTTCATTTTGATGTTTTCATTTTCCTTCTGTCGTTCCTCCAATGATTCCAGCTCCTCCACGGAGAAGCAGACTGTCATGTCGTCCGATTTTGTGGATTCCTGAAAAAGTCAAATAGCAACTCTCTGAAAACTTTCAAATAATTTACAATAATGGCTGTGAAACATGTTTGATTTGAGTATCTATTCCAGAAATTGACTTTAGGAGCCAGGGAGAAATATATTAGAAACTATTTTTTTTTAATTAGCTAGGGAAGTACATCCATAAATGTCCTATGTAAAATACTCCAAAGTGAGTGACACTGCTATTAACATTTTGTGAAGCGGTGTCAGATTTAATCAAGAATTTAATAACACTGATTGTCCACCCGCATTAACATGAGGCACACTGACGAAGCACTTAGGACTCAGACAGATCAGTTCAAGAAATAACCTTTTTTTGGGGGGGGAGTCAATGAGGAATTGCATTTAGAAACATCGCTTTCCAGATTTATTTATTTTTTTTGGCAATCCACGATTAATTTTCTCTGGTTACAGTCCCATTAATATTTCTTAAAATAAACCAAATAAGTTTTCAGGTTTTTTGTCTGATTCATTTTAGGGCTGTGGCTGGCCTGCCCTTTTGGGTTCCACCAATATAACATTGCATTTAAAATACATTTTTTCTTTTTTGTCCTCCAAATCTTTGGACTTTGAAAATCCTTTAGTGTGTTTTTTAGATGCCAAGCACTTGTGCCTTAAATAAGGATTAAAGGTACACTATAGTCACCCAGACCACTTCAGCTCAATGAAGTGGTCTGGGTGCCAGGTCCCTCAGGTTTTAACCCTTCAGATGTAAACATAGCAGTTTCCGAGAAACTGCTATGTCTACATAGCAGGGCTAATCCAACCTCTAGTGGCTGTCTTCCTTACAGCCGCTAGAGGCACATCTGCGATGCTGGATGCAAAATTTGCATCCAGTGTGCAGAACGGCGATAGGAAAGCATTGCGAAATGCACATTCCGCTCCACTTGGGAGCTGACTTTGGCGGGGGAGGAGAGGTCACCAGCGCCGAGGGAGCCCGGCACTGGATTAAGGTAAGCTGCTGAAGGGGTTTGTTTTCCTGACACTATAGTGATCCTTTAATGAATGCACAATAACTCTTGATTACCTCCATTTGGTTGGAAAAGCTGTACTTGTAACCAAAGAGAGCAAAAAACGGGGCGCAAAAGAATACTGAGAACAGGCAGCAGCTGAAATAGCCTGCCCTTGGGTGGGTCCCCGCTCAGTTCTCAAGCTGATTTTAGCTTATCTTGTGCCATTACAGAGAGAACATCTCTGAAACCTATCAGACTGGTCCGACCTATATGGGCAGTCCAGATCCGAAATGCCAACAAGTTCCCTCTGCACGAGAGACACAGCAACCCCAGACGATCGTTTCAGCCTTGTTAGGCATCATCAGTGAGGCATAGCTGATATCTCTCTAGGCACCGTGAGCAAGGGGTCCACGTCTGGATTACCCTTTGAACTTATGAAGAGCAAAAAACGGGACGCAAGAGAATACTGAGAACAGGCAGCAGCTGAAATAGCCTGCCCTTCAGTGGGTCCCCGCTCAGTTCTCAAGCTGATTGTGATTGTAACCAAAGACAAACAAAAAGGACCTAATGCTGGCTGCCCCCATAGACCAAAGTTAAAGGGATACTATAGTCACCAAAACACCTTTAGCTTAATGAAGCAGTATGAGTGTATAGATCATACCCGAGCAGTCTCATGGCTCCATTCTCTACCATTTATTAGTTAAATCACTTTTGTTTCTTTTTATGCAGCCCTAGTCACACCTCCCCTGGCTTTGACTGTCACAGCCTGCATGGAAAAAAATCAGATGTTAACTTGATTTAGACATTTTTCCTTCTGCTCTGTAATTGAACTTTAATCACACACATGAGTCTCCTTCAAAGTCCAGCAAGCTATTAGTTCAGGAGAGAAGAAGTTCTAAATTAAACAGTACTGTGCAATAAGGTAAGTATAAACATTAAATTTCACTTTACAGGAAGTGTTTAACCCCTTAAGGACACACGACATGTGTGACATGTCACGATTCCCTTTTATTCCAGAAGTTTGGTCCTTAAGGGGTTAAAGAGACACTATAGTCACCTGAACAACTTTAGCTTAATGAAGCAGTTTTGGTGTATAGAACATGCCCCTGCAGCCTCACTGCTCAATCCTCTGCCATTTAGGAGTTAAATCCCTTTGTTTATGAACCCTAGTCACACCTCCCTGCATGTGACTTGCACAGCCTTCCATAAACACTTCCTGTAAAGAGAGCCCTATTTAGGCTTTCTTTATTGCAAGTTCTGTTTAATTAAGATTTTCTTATCCCCTGCTATGTTAATAGCTTGCTAGACCCTGCAAGAGCCTCCTGTATGTGATTAAAGTTCAATTTAGAGATTGAGATACAATTATTTAAGGTAAATTACATCTGTTTGAAAGTGAAACCAGTTTTTTTTTCATGCAGGCTCTGTCAATCATAGCCAGGGGAGGTGTGGCTAGGGCTGCATAAACAGAAACAAAGTGATTTAACTCCTAAATGACAGTGAATTGAGCAGTGAAATTGCAGGGGAATGATCTATACACTAAAACTGCTTTATTTAGCTAAAGTAATTTAGGTGACTATAGTGTTCCTTTAAGAAGGCTGTGCTCTGTAAGTCACGTGCAAGAAGATGTGACTAGGGCTTTATAAACAACGTAATTTATTCCTAAATGGCAGATAATTGAAGAGTGAGACTGCAGTGGCATGATCTATACACCAAATCCACTTCATTAAGCTAAAGTTGCTCTGGTGACTAAAGTGCCTCTTTATACCGTTATTTAATTTTATGTGAGTATTACAAAAGATTATACACAGTGGTTACAATAGGTGTAATCTTTTATTTTAAATAATTATAAAAAGATGACAGTTTTCCTTTAATAAATGTTGTATACAAACTATTTGTTAAGGATTATTTTCTGGATTTATTGATATCTCTATTCGAGCATTAGTTCAAATTATTTGTCATGATAAGAAAGATATATGTACCTCCATATCTTCATCAGCCACTTCCTTGCTGTCGGAAACATCACTCTCATCAGCTTCCCATTCCTCCATGTGGAATATTGGTTACTGCTAGACAGAAAAATAAAATGCAACAGATTTCAAACAAAGAAAGTTCAATGTCCCTAAATCTCTCAAAGAATGTGTTTTTTCAGCAAAAAAAAGTTGCAATAATAAAATTATTATTATTTTTTTTAAATATACAGTGGAACCTTGGAACTCGAACAATAATTTTGAGTACAAAAATGTCTCGGTACACAAACGATCTTCGCTACCCGAACATGCAACAAAAAACCATGTCTCATTTTCAAGTCAGAAAAGTATGCATTTGCAAGACCAATGTCTAGTGTCACAGGTCTGGAGTACGTTAGGTAATTAAAAATATCCAACTAAATTGAAGAACGGTGATCCTACTCCTATGTATAGTTCAACTTTGAAGAATTTAAAGGGACACTCCAGGCACTCAGACCACTTCTGCCCATTGGAGTGGTATGGGTGCCAACTTCCACCACCCTTAACTCTGCAAGTGTAATTATTGCAGTTTTTATAAACTGCAATAATTACCTGGCAGGGTTAAGTCCTTCTCTAGTGGCTGTCTACCAGACAGCCACTAGAGGGACTTCCGTGTTCTTAGAACACGAAAAGTGTTTTTAACAACGTTGGACGTCCTCACGCTATGCATGAGGACCTCCAGCGTCGCCGGAATCCCCATAAGAAAGCATTCAATAATGCTTTCCCATGGGGAGGCCTAATGCGCGTGCGCAGCCATTGCTGCGCATGCGCATTAGGTCTCCCCCACCGGCTGATGTCAGCGGGGAGGAGCGTGGGTGGAGCCTGACCAAGCGCCGAGGAACACCAGCGCTGGATTCAGGTAAATCACTGAAGGGGTGGGAGGGAGGGATGGGGTGGGAGGGAGAGGGGCATTACAGGGATATGTTTCCCTGGCACTGGAGAGTCCCTTTAAGGCAATGTTTATGGACTTACATTTGGATTCTAATAAACACCTGACAGCTTTTGGGTGGATATAGTATGTAAAATGTTGTAATTTTGGGGATCTGGAACAGATTAATCAATTTTACATTAATTCTTATGGGAAATGTTGATTCGGTTTTCGAACACATCGGAACTCGAACAGCCTTCGGGAACGGATTAAGTCCAAGGTTCCA